CCCCAAAACCCCAAAACCCCAAAACCCCAAAACCCCACATTAGCCAAAAATAATTGAAATCTTATATTCCTGGCCAGAAAATTATCAATATTTTACAAATTGTGACGACTTTCGGTCAATTATTTTTGCCAAATAAATTTTTATTGTCTTCAGATCTAACTGTGGTTGCACCAAAGATGCCCTCCACATATAGAAATACCAACAATGATGAATTTATACCACTATTAGGCCTCAGTAAGGGATCTAAGCGCATTGAGCATAACAATAATAGCTTAAAATATTTCAAATTTTCGGGAATTTTCTAATTCATCGAGCCCAGAAATTATATTTAAGACAAAATTTTGACAAATTCTCATAAAAATTTAAATGAGTAACATAAAGCCAATTGCCACAAGCGAAGAAATGATAGGTAAGCCTCCAGAATGACTTGTAGTGAGCCCAAAGATCAGCATGAGAGAGTCTAAAAGGGTGAAGATCTCTTGGAAGAATCTTAGGTAAAATGCTCTCCATAATATATTTAGATACACAGTTAGAGTGCAACGTTCTAGAAAGCAAATGGAAGAGCTTGGTGAGACTGACAAATATTATGATAAGGAACTCCTTAAGCCTCAGAATGGCTTTGTTCAAAATGGAGAAGCCATGTTTATCATGGGGTCATCTGGAGCTGGCAAAACAACTTTGCTTAATGCTCTATGTGATAGACTGACTCAGAACAAACACTGCAAACTTGAAGGAGAAGTCCTTCTGAACGATACCTACCCTGTCACTCAAAGAGATTTCGGTAAATATGGAGGATATGTGACTCAAGACGACATTCTGTTTCCAACGCTGACTGTTTATGAAGCTCTGGTGTTTGCAGCCAGGCTTAAAATCAACATTAAAGGAGATGAACTTAAACAGAAAGTCGAAGATACTCTTGGTTCTCTCAGTCTGAGACATATTAAAGATAGACTGATTGGAAACAGCGACGTAAAAGGACTTGGACCAGCTGATAAGAAAAAGACTTCTATTGCCATTGAATTAATTTCAAATCCCTCTGTTCTTTTTCTAGATGAACCTACTTCAGGACTTGATAGCTTTACAGCAAATAAAATTGTCGAACTTCTCAAAAATCAAGCTAGACTGGGAACTACAATAATAGCTACAATACATCAGCCTAGCTCTAGCACATTTGGGCTATTTGATAGACTCTTATTGCTCATGGATGGCAATACTATCTACCAAGGTGATGCCCAGAAGGCTGCTTCATACTTTGAAACAATTGGATTTTTTATCCCTACATTCTCCAATCCTGCAGACTATTTCCTTAAGGAATTCTTCATTCCTTACAAAAAGGAACAAAAGGATATCCAAAAGCTCGATATTCTAATTGAAGGCTACAATACTCGCATCTCACAAGATATTAAAAAGGAAGATGAAGCTATAAAATTTCAGGATGATGATGAACAAGACATTATGAATAGAAACACTAAAGCTTCTCCTCTTGTAGAGCTTGGTTATCTTATCCTCAGAACTGCCAAGAATACTTACAGGAACCCCAGTGCTACAAATATTAGGATCACTCAAGCGATCATGATGGTCGTCCTCATAACTCTCTGTTTCTGGGATCTAGGAACCTCCGAAAGGGATATCAATGGGAAGGTTGGATTCATATTCTTCCTTTGTGTTTCAACCATTTTCAACTCAATGAATGTGGTGCTTGTCCTGTTCATATCGGAGAGACCTGTCTTCATTCGGGAATATTCGAGCAAGACTTATGGAGTGTGGTCTTATTACCTCTCTAAATCAATTGTTGAAGTGCCTTTTGAAGTCATTGCTCCTCTAATCTCTTGCCTATTAGTATATTTTACTGTAGGATTGACTCCAGATTTTGACAGATTTGTCATATTTTGATTGGTAACAGTCTCTGGAGTGCTTGTATCTACCTCATTTGGATTCTTTATAGGATGTCTGGTGAGAGATCCTTCAGTAGCAGCTCAAGTATCTCTGCTGATGTATCTTCCTTTTGTATTCTTTGGAGGTTTCTTTGTCAACTTGGGAGACGTCTTTACGTTTTTGAGATGGATTCAATACCTCTCCCCTATCCGCTATATGATGGAAGCTTTTCTCAGGAACGAGTTTGAAGACAACAGTGATTACCCAAACGGAGATCAAATATATGAAAAATATCATTACGATCTTGGAACAGCTCCCTGCATCTTAATCGTTATCGTCGTTGGAATCGCATTAAGAATGATTGCCCTCTTAACCCTAAAGCTCAGCGTGACACCAATCTTCAAAAAATCCTAAATATCTAAACATATCAGTCTCAACCTCCTACTAAATTCCTGGGGTTTTGGGGTTTTGGGGTTTTGGGG